CACGACCTCCAATGTGTCTGCCTCCACTGTTCTTGCCCGCCTGGCGACCACAACGCATGCTTCCTTCAATATCCTCACCGCTTCCTCCTACTTGTACACTATCCACATCAGTCGCTTCACCCTTGTTGTGGTCCCGTTTGTTTTCTGCGACATGCTTAGTTGGAGCAAGAGGTGTTGCACCACCCACTGTTTTCCTTCGTACCATCTTCAACTTCGGAGTATACTTCGAAAACTCCTCCCTGCGCCGGATGTCAATGTCGTTATATCCCTTCTCCGTTTCTTCCATTTGTAATTTACGTTTGCTCGCCTCGCGGTGCATTTCAACCAAATTTGTCCTCCAATGCTCCGTTTTTGTTTGTACAGTCTTCACTTCTTCAGATTTTGCATGTTGTGTGATATCTCGAATTGTGTTTCGTTCCTGTACGAGACGTGCACCAACATTCGTCTGACGTCGTGACACCTCTTCTTCGCGAACGCAGAACCTTTGTTGCATCGATGTCCTTGTCACATCTGGGCCTCGGCGAATCGCACACTGTCATGACAACGACCTTTGTATATCTATTTGGATTCGATGCTCATAATTCAATCACTTATCCCCCTCGTCATATTGTGCAGCGTGAAGAATCAAAGCTTCAATCAATTCATCAGTCCTATCAACCAGATTATGCCTATACTTATTAAGCTTTGGAGGCACTTGGTCAGATGTCCCGCGTCTATCAATTTTGAACTCATTCTTGAGATGCTTGATCGCATCAATAAAATACATGAGCAAACCCCTGTATCTCCTCCTTTCTATCTCCTCATCACATAAGTCTTCTTGTGTGTACTCATCGTTGTTTGGTCATACGCTTTGCAAAATGCAAACCGAATCATCAATGCGTGGTTTCAAAGGAACACGCGAAGGTGACTTCGAACAAATTGTGCCCACACGAGATCTTTTCTTTGTATTCGGAGGGACACATGGTACTCCATGTCCTCCTTGATGAAGAACCTCCAACGACTTCACCACACCTACTCGCTCTAAAGTATTTTTCCACCTCGTCTTTTTCCACCGCTTCAGACGTATTTTTCGCTCTTATATCTGATCGTTAATATAGCTTATATCATCTTCTAACCGCTCTCGCTCTTTCTCCAATACTCGGAGTGAATGGTAATAATTGTTGACGTTCTTCAGACCCTCGTCCACCAAGGTTTGTACCCGATCCAAAAGCGTCACAAGGTCATATTTGCTAGGCACCGAATAGCTATTCTCCTTCCATTTTGCAAACTCTTCATCCATGAGCATCCGCAAGTCTAAAATTGGATGACGAAGAGGTGGAAACCACATATCGAAATCTCCTTCCGCGGAGGGAATCGATTTCAATGACATCGACAATCTTCTTAATTCCCTGCGTTATATCCAATTAGAAAAAAGTTCAACAAAAAAATTTAAACTTTATCAATATATTGAATTAATGATAGCTTTGGGAGATTAGGATTTCAAATGTGTGCATTTTTTCCCCTCACAATATGTGCTTCCATTTGCCTATGTTTGCACGCAAACGCGCATCTCTCTTTTTCTCAATCTTACGACATCTCTCTCTCTCTCTCTCTCTCTCTCTCTCTCTCTCTCTCTCTCTCTCTCTCTCTCTCTCTCTCTCTCTCTCTCCCTCTCTCTCTCTGTGGGAGCTTTGGCAAGGTT